ACTTTTAAATGTCTCCGCGGAAAGTCCATCCTTTATTTTCAATGACAAAAAAATCCACTGTCTTTACGACTATTGCCACTTGATTAAATCGGTTCGGAATAACTTATTAAAGCATGATTTAAAAACTATGGATGACATCGCGAGCGGTAAAGTTATTCAGCAATTACATTCCGTAGATAAAGCCAACGTAAACTTCAAGGTATGTCCTAAGCTTACAGCTTCGCATATTTATCCTAATAATTTTGAAAAACTGAGCGTATCCCGAGAGACGCAGCTATTGAGTAATTCGGTAGCTGCGGGTATTGATATAGCGAAGACACAAAGATTGCTAGGGTCTAATGAATACACCCTCAAATATGCCAAGCCGACTCAGTTGTTTGTAAAACACATGAACGATTTGTTCGATGAACTCGATTGCAAGAGATTTAATAATAAAAACCCATTGAAGTGTCCAATTTGGAGCGATTCCGTAGACAAGCTTAACAGGCATAAGGACCATATTAAATTCATTTCGTCGATTCAACTTCCTAATAATATAAACTCCTTGTGTTTTGCTGGTTTTATTTTAACCATTAATGCGATGGTTAATTTAAGTCAAGATATCTTTGAAAAATGTAAAGATGTTAATTTTATATTATTGGGAAACTTGAATCAAGATGCACCTGAGAACTTTTTTTTTATAGAATCCGCGCAACTCATCCATCGGGCCATGAAATTCAGTATATTGTTGCTCGCTTAATTTCTATAAAAATTTTGAGACGGAAATTCGAGAAAAAGGGTACAAACTGCGAAGATGATGAAGATTTGAACCTGAATTGGAATATTGCTGATGAAGATTCCTTGAAAGACAATTTAGGACCTTCAGAGAGACTTGCGATGGATGTCGATATTCCGGAAAAGCAATTTTCTTGGGATATTGATATTCCTGAAGACCAATTTGCTCTCACGGAAGGGGAATCCAGGTTTAAAGTTACTACGCAGGTTATACGATTTACCAAAAATAGGTAACAATTACCAAAAATAGGTAGGCACATAGGTAATTGTATGTATAGTACATAAGTAAGTATATTATTTGTACATAAATTTGTTAGCAACAGAAAATTGTTGGGCATGCGAAATGCCGTCGGCAAATAGACATGAGAAAATTAGCCGATTGCGCTAAAATAGTTTTTATAAAAAAGTCCATTTACATGTCTATACGATTGTAGAAACAAGTTTTCTCTTTTCTTTTTCGTTCGTATCTTTTCATTTTGCTTTAAACTATGACAAATTTCGTCGAAGTGTGGTGGAACGGAAAAATCTTTGGTGTGGTGACAGCCGACATTCCGTCGACGAGTGGTGTATTTGCTCGACCGCAACTCAAAATTTTTGGCGACAATTAGTTCACACTGAAAATGCGCCTTCTCATTCATATACGTTATCTGCTTTAAATTTGAAACAAGCATAGTTGCTTTTTGAAAAAATAAACTCCTTTTATTTTATGTAGAACATATTCTATTTCCTTTCCCTAAATTTAAGGATTGCGCAAAGCAGCGCTAATGCCGCCAATCTCCCCCACGAACTCCTGCTTTCATATAAGCTGCATTATCAGTAACTATAACACTTATCTTGTGACCAATTCCCAATCGAAAAATATTTCGTAATTTTTTTTATTTTTTATTATACTATTTTCACTGGTGTGCCTTTCTATATATGAGGAGCAAGCTAATAAATCCGACGTCAGCAATGTTTTTTTTATCGTCTTTCACAATGTAGTGGGGCAGTAACACTAAAGAAACTGTCTTCTACACGGGAAGTCCAACCGTCCATCGTTACACATATAGCATACGCCCTCTTTAACCGACTTTTCACCACTAAAATTCAAGTAACATTCGTTTAACACGACTTACTTTTTAGTATTTAACGGGTAACTTTACAAGCTTTTTCTCACAATTCTTAATTTACATAATATTCACTTTCCCTTCTATACTGTGTAATATTCGTTTATACGTTTTTTTTTGGTATATCCATCAGCAGCATTTTTTAAGACTAATTTCTTACATTAGTGTCCAGGGTGACATTATCGGAAGTTTTTCGGGCTCTTTAGGCTAATCCTCTTCCTTCTGTACTAGGGTCCCTCGGCGTGACTTGATTTCCTTTCGTTCTGGCAGCTACTTGATGTATTTTTGTTTTTTTTTTTTTAATTTTTACATATTTACGATTCGCCTAGCCGTAATTTTTGTTTTTCGGGCTATTACCACTTTTCGCGCGCTGGTCCCTGTTCGGGCGCCAGTTGCAACTTTCGTTGCTTAATAAGTCAAAAAATATATGTTTTAGGGAGCCGTGCTCCTTTATTGAATTCTCAATTTAAACTGGTAATTACAAAGTATTTTTATTAACGCTACACCTACGTTTGCCTTGCTGCAGCGTGAATGGAATTTGCTGACACTGCGCTTCCCACAGGTGAAGTTGTTTACTTCAGGGTGACTTCTTATGTCCCTTTGTTGTCCTCACGGTTTGTTATACACGTGCCGCAACTTCAGCAGTTTGATCTGTTGGCTGTCTGGAGTTATATGTAATCCGAATATTATTTTATTATGTTACATTGACATTTGTCGTGCTAACGTACATACACACGAGTAATCACTTATCGCATTAAAAAAACGTCCGTTTGTAAAGAATACATACTTTTTCTCCTTATAAAATTATTTCTTCATATAGAAGAAAAGAACTGAGCCGTTACTTATGGTGACAGCCAATATTTATAAATATATGAGACCGGGGCTGTCCGGTATCGCCTTAAATTTATTATAAT